CCTAACCTAACCCCTAATGTTAAGTAAGAGATACAGGAGGTTAAGAGCGATGTGACTTAAATGAGGAAGTGGTGGCTTCGTCAGTGTCGTCTCTTACCACAGTACCATACATGGTGATCTACACAGTACTAACACTCTGACCTACATCTTGGACACTTTACAGATGAAACAAGAACTCTGTGAGCCCTAAAAATGACAACGGCTGCTGTTTCATTGTCCAAAATACGCTGAATAATGCGTCAGCCAGCCAATGTACACTCGAGAGCCATAGTTTCGATGCACACACTACCCCTACTCCTGGATCAAGGGAAGTCGTAGTCAGGGCTGTAAACCCAACGGTCCCTCTTGTATAGTGATGTTAAGTATAGTGATGGTAAATAAACTGTTGTGAAGACACTAAAAAACCTGTACAGTATCATGCATATATTCTCTCACATATTACATCATGAACTGCTATTCGTAAAATCCAGCGAAGCTTCTAGCTACCACATTGCACCACTGAAAGATGATTGGGGGAAGTTCGGTATGAAGCCAAGGCTACGACTTCCATCGAGCCAGGAGTAGGGGTAGAGGGTGCATTGAAACTATGGCGGGCGAGTGTACATCCATCTCACACAGATGTCATCTTCCAGCTGGCCGCGAATGGAGAATTGTGCTGGCTAGAGCACGAGTATTACGTCACATTGGCACTCATGCTGATAGGCCAAATATTATAAAATAAAAATTCAAATAACTCTAAAACTAAAAATTTCCGATGGAAAAGTTATAAAAAAAATTTCCCCTTTATCTCCCTATACTGTATACAGTAATACCCCGCTTAACATGGTTTCGCTTAGCGTGATTTCACATATACGCGGTGCCTCGCCAGAGCCGAACTTTCACTTAACGCGGGTTTTTTCCACGTATACGCGGAGTGTGTCCGGCTCCAGACTCTATTTTTAGATTCGCCCCACCCCCCACCCGCCACCCTGCCTGTTTTAGCTCATAAAATTCATACAAATTACCCGGCCAGAATATAATTTACATTGCTGGAATTCTTACAATATGATGATCATTTTGAATATAAACATCATAGATTTTGCATTAGACATACAAATTTTAGATATTATGTTTACTCTGAGTAAATATGTTATTTTTTGTGCAAAATATATGACATTTGTATTCAAAATATTCCTGGTCTTACAAGGAATCCAGCAATGTCAATTATATTATCCTAACTTTAGTTTGAGGTATTATTTATTACTAAAAAGGTAAATATTCTGGTTTTCCCACACATCTGGTAGGGAGGGTTGGTGGGGGGTGGGGGGTAGGGAGGGACGGACCGACCATCTGTTACCATGTGAAGAATATTTTTTTTTTTATTAACTGAAGATATTTGTTTTAGCTCATAAAATTCATACAAATTACCCGGTCAGAATATAATTTACATTGCTGGAATTCTTACAATTTGATGATCATTTTGAATATAAACATCATAGATTTTGCATGAGACATACAAATTTTAGATATAATGTTTACTCTGAGTAAATATGTTATCTTTTGTGCAAAATATATGACATTTATATTCAAAATATTCCTGGTCTTTCAAGGAATCCAGCAATGTCAATTGTATTATCCTAACTTTAGTTTGAGGTATTATTTATTGAAATTTAGTGGTTTTCCCCCCAAAATTTCTCAAGAGGGAAGAGCCAGTGAGTGTAGTGTGAGAAGAGGGGGAGGGAGAGTCCATTATTTGAATGGACATTAACTTGGCGACTGTATTTCTCTATTTCTCTTAAGTATTAATTGTGTGCATGTACCATCATAAAATTAAGATGTTATTTTTACTAGAACATAGGTATTGTGTCGGAAAAAGTGGAGTTTGGGGGTCGGGCCAGTTTCTATTGGAATTAATCCCATATGTTCTGTTGTTCACTTAGCGTTCTGACTTCATTCTTTAACAACCCAACTAACAATATTTTTTTCTGTTTCAGATTCTGATGCATTTATAAGTTGATAATATTTGCGATGGCTGCTTGTGTCAGGACGAGGAACCAAAAATCCAGCCATCTCAGTCACTATCTTGGGTCTGGGAGAGAGCTCCTGAAGTCGGAGTTGCCTACATTGAGAGATGCTTTGAGATACGGTGTTTTAATCAGGCAAATCAGTGAAAAGAACCAAAGAACTTACACAAACAAAGACATTGCCAGTGATATGACCAAAGCTGTCTTGGCACAGTACACTCTGGCTAACGCTCAGTTCAAGCCTCCAGTCATAACAAGTCAGAAGAAGATTAGTGAGAGACTGCTAGCCAGTTGGGAAAAGGCAAGAGATATCTCTCTTGGGAGAGGAAAACTTGCAGTTAAGGACAGCTTTGCCAAGCAACTGGACCAGTTATTTGACATAATTACTTGCAAGTGCCCAATTGTTCTCTGTCCTGAGTTTGGATGCGATCGTGACTGTAAATCCGAGGCCCACATCTCCTGTATTTTGCAAGCGTGAACTGAAGATTCCTGTGATCGAACTGGCATTTGTCAAAGCACAGAGAGAGAAGACTGGCAGTATAGGGGCTCTCATGATTTCTAGCCAAGATATTCCGGAGTCCAAGAGACAGGAGGCTGCCACAGAGAGACAGAAGAGGAGAAGAGTTGCTGAGGAAAAGAGACTTGAGAAGGCCCAGGGTGAGGTAAAAAAGGCCGATGATTGGAGTTAAGCTGATTCAGAGTTTAATGACTTCCCCATGGCTGATCCGAGTGCTGACCAGGAGAATGGTGACTTTGTCCCTAACCCAGAAAATAATGATCCTAAACCTTCCAGGCATAAGATTCGAAATAGGAAAGATATCCCGAGCATAGCTCTGGCCAGCATGCGACACCACACTGGTCTCAGAGAAACTGCAGAGATAGCAACAGCTGCCTGGGTTGACGGTTGTTTGATAACACCTGATGATGTTCACCTGGTGATATATCATAACAAAGTAAGGAGAGCTCAGGAGAAACTTGTCAGTAACCTAGAAGAGGAGTTTGATAAGGGGATAAGAGAAAATGGAATCAATTGTTTGTTCTTTGATGGGAGAAGGGATGACACTAAAGTGTTCATGAAAGTTGGAGATTCTGACAAGTTGTTCCCTGCCATGGTGAAGGAGGAACACTACTCCTGCTGCAGTGAACCAGGAGGGAAGTATTTGTGGCATTTCACTCCAGAGAAAGATGACACCAGGAAACCAGCTGAGATAGTGGCAGATAACATTGTGAACTGGCTCAGAGAGAGGAACGTAGACCAGACCCTGCAGGCCATTGGAGGGGACAGCACCAACACGAACACAGGGTGGCAAGGGGGGGTCATACATTGGATAGAGCGAAGATTGGGAGGAAGCTGGTCTGGATTGTTTGTGACCTCCACACCAACGAGTTGCCACTCAGACATCTGATCCAAGAGCTGGATGGCAAGACTCTTTCAAACAACAGATGGTCTGGTCCTCTTGGCAAGATGCTGGACTCTGCCACTGAGTTAGAAATAAATCCGAGCTTTGAAAAAATCACAGTTGGCCCTCCACTCGTTGAGCTTGCACATACTGTCATTGACGACCTGAGTACTGATCAGTACTATGGTTACATGATTTGCAGTGCCATCAAAACTGGGGTCATGCCTGATAGACTTGCTTACCTGCAGATAGGTCCAGTCTCACATTCTAGGTGGCTCACAACGGCTCTCAGGTTCTGCAGAATTTGGGTCGCTCATCATAAACTGAAAGGGAACCAGCTTCACAACCTGAGACTTATTGTCCAATTCATCGTGAGTGTCTACTTGCCAAATTGGTTCAACACCAAGGTCAAGTCATCGTTCTCCGAAGGTCCGAGGCATGTTCTCTTCCAGCTTGAGCTCCTGAGGAGTCAGCCAAGGAAGGTTGTTCAGATTGTGGAGCAGACTGTGAGGAGATCTTCCTGGTATGCTCATCCCGAGGCAGTTCTGCGGACAAAGTACTATGCTCGGTAATACAAGGTGTTTTCTGAAGAAAAGAAATTGCCTCCCTATTTTTCTGGTGAAACTCGGCAATTGTGGCAAAATAATCTTTCTCACAACTTCTGCACAGCTCTTCCACCGGTTCAGCCATATCTCCTACTAAAAATTCAAATCTTCCCTCCAGACCCACCAACTCATTGTTCATTGGTAAAACAATAAAAATCTTTCCCAAAAATACTCCTTTTGCTATCGCCAATTAAAAAATCCCCCCCCCCCTCCCACATGCGCTCTAGACGCTTAAAGAGCGAAGACGGAGGCCTGGAGCGATGCATGAGCAGGGGGTCAGGCCACCTCTGCCATAAGTAAACAAATCATGGCGACACTTGTGACTGAGCGAAAGTAATAATCTTGAAATATTAATATCTCAGTTATCCTTAATTTCCGGTGGAAATATCATAGAAGAAAAATGTCTTAGAAATGTGTAAACATTACGAGAAACATATTAACAGCAGCGAAAGAAAGACCTGTGTAAAATTATAAATTCACCCGATTTTGGCGTTGTTCTCCATTGGAAATCACGTTTCTGAGATTTACCCAACAAAAAACTCAAATTTACCAACATCTCCCCTTGTTGGAGGGGGTATATCTAAAAAATTAGTGATTACCGGCGGAAATTAATATCAATTTAATTCGAAACTCCAAAAACCAAAGGAAAAACTTACTTGTAATATCCAAAGAAAGGTGTTTTTTCTATATTTACCTTTAATTAATATTAATAAACAGGTGTTTAGTCATTTTGGTAATTTTTATGAATAAATCAAAATTAACAACTCTGTAACGCCGCATCCTTTAAGTAAAAAAGTTACAAATAAAATAGCATTACTAATAAACTTATTACTTACCTAACCTGTCATGCATCACACAATACCAGACTTAATACCTATTAAGAGACTACAGTGGCTATTATCCCCTGACTGAACATGTATTCATTCTCAGTAGACTGGTCACTTTCCTCAATTTGATGTATAATGTTTGTGATATTCGTCTTCAACACAAACCTTCTCACGTCAAAGTTGAAGAGCACCATCTTGCCTCGGCTGTCACCTCTCAGCTGTGTTTACGTCTGCCACGACTACACGCTGCAGGGGAAGGGTGCGTCTTATATCTCCTAAGATTTCTTCAATTTTCATGAATCATACATTTTCTCCAATTACTTGTCATTATATCGATTATGTAGCTATCTTTTTTTAAATATATTACTAAAACCGTATTATTAAGTGGAAAATAAATTATATGGAAAATTGTTAAAGTCTTGTATATGATTCTTGAAGACATCTGCCAACAAAGCATAACAATACACCTTTTGTCACGGCGCTCAGCTATTGGTTGAGCGGCGTTTGACTTATTGTGAACAGCAAAATGCGCAAGTTGTTTAGAAGAAATATTCGAACATTTCATACAAGGTGTTCACATGGCTTTTTCCAATATAAATTTCCATATTGGTCAGTCCAGAAACATTTGAATATGTTAAATATGGCAGAAAGAAAAAATAAATTGAATCTATTTAAAACGTAAAAGTGGAGTGCCAACGTAAGGATTACTGAGGTACATTTTAATCACAAACTATTAACATACAGAGCCAATATACCTGTAGGTTACAAATATACATAGATGTTTAATATATAAAAAAATATACATATCATATATAAAACAAGTTAAACTGTGATATGGTCCTAGTTTGTATCTGATAACGGTATACTGTATGGTTAATAAGTCGGGGTGTATGGGGCCAGGCATGTCATTTGTGTAAAATATATACTGTACATAAGTGCTAGGGGACTCCTTCGTGCAATGGTAAGTAGTCCGAGTGTAGGTGTTTAAATTTTAATCCTCATTTTCTTTTCTGTTAGGAAGTTGCACAGGATATGCTGTGTTTTTTGGGAAAGTTAAAATTGGTGCATATTTTGTTACTTTGTAGTGCATTTCTCCCCTACAAACGCTGTTTGTCGCTGCGTAGCCGACCCCACCAATTCCACAGTGTGTGCCTCGTGGTCTAGGTCAACCAGCGCCGCCATACATCACGGAGCGGGGTCAACTACTAAGCCACGCTTACCCCCCGCTATTTAAGACCTGACCTCGTGGTGACCTGCCTTTTTCTACCTACACCAACCAGCCAGCAACACCTCCTCCTCCGCCTGCCTGGCGGTCCTCGCTCCCGCCGGCGAGCATGGCGACCTACAAGCTGTCCTCCTGTGAGCACTCTCACCAACCAGCTCTCTCTACATCACGCTTGTAACCATGCTGCCTTCCCAGCACCAAGCTGCATTATACATCCAATAACATGTATACAGAGAGCACATTGTGAGTTTCCTTTCTCCATCCCATCCTGAGTGTGAACCAAACATCCCCTACCCCACAACTTAAGTCTGTCGTGCTAGAGTGTATCAAACGCTTTCTGTAGGTCTTTGGTGATGTTGTGGTGGATACTCTCCCTACAACTGCTGACTGATCACTTGCCGTTCGCTTACCAGCCAATCAGCTATAGATACAAGTAATAGAAGCTCCAAAAGTTGCTGTTAGCGAAAGTCAGAGCTGGGAAGATGACAGAGGAAGAAGCAGCAGGTTAAGAAGGGAATTGTAGTGGGAGAGATAGAGCCGTGGCTTTACACGACTGCCTTATAGCACAGAGCGCACGAATTGGATTTTTGTCTGTGTTGGGCGTGTGATCCTTGGGTCACCACTCCTCCGGATTGTGTTAGATACGGCAGCGAGTTCCACAGACTAGGTCTCATGCGCGGATGGACATGTGCAGATCTCTTGCCGTCCGCTTACCCAGCCAATCAGCAGCGAGTTCAACAAACCAGACCTCACTCACGAACTGCGCTGTGATTGGCGCTGCTCATTTCGCTTCTCGCTCCTCTGATCCTGGCAAATCGTATAAATACACCTCGGCCTAGCTTCACACTCTCTAACCCTCTCTCACCATGAACGGTTACGAGTTTGATAACGTGGCGCGGATACGTCCGGATACGCCGACCTGCCCCAAGAAATTAAACCTCCTAGTTCTCAAGAAGTTCTTTGAAACTAATGAGATCGTGGGGGTCACCAAGGTGGAACGACTGAAGCTCCATGGTGACATCAAGATCACCTTCGCCGAGAAGGGTATGCCCGTACAGCTCACGGAGATCCCGGACATCAACGGCATTCCATTTAAAATGATTGCTTACACGTGGGACAACCTGAAGCTGGGAGTAATCTCCCACGCCGAAATTGCCCACGTGGACCAAGCAGAGCTGAGTGAGCTCCTCAAGGGGCAACTCCAAGTTGTGAAGAAGCTGTCCGACACCACTGCCCTCATTGGACACCATACAACCTTACCCAAGGAGGCTCAACTGGCGTGGGTAACTGTGCCAGTCTAGCCCTACTGCAGACCGAAACGCTGTTACAAATGCCAGCACTACGGACACACTGTCAACAAGTGTGATGCGCAGGAGGACACCTGCTCCCTGTGCGGCAGCCCCGGACACCGCTACACGGTCTGCCCCAACACAGTAAAAAAATGCGCTGCCTGTGGCGGCCCACATTCCTCCGCCGATCGGACCTGCCCGAAATGGAAGGAGGAATGCAGGATAGCCAAGGCTCGACTCGACAAGAAACTGAGCTACAAAGAGCCCCTCCTTGCTGTATGCTCCCAAGACAAGAAAAAACCAGCAGAAAAGAAAAACCAAGAAAATAAAACCCAAGAAAAGAAAACTCAAGAAAAGACACCCGCCACACAGAATCAAGAACACCACGAGGCCCGTGGAGCTGAAGCCCACGTGGTCAACCTCACCGTCTCCGACTTCTTCCACACCTATGAGGACATAAGACACGAGGAAGACGAACAACAAGACCCAAACATGAATGAATGGACACTTCAAGAGAGCAAGAAGAGGAGAGTTAGAAGAAAATCTACATCAAGCTAAGAAGAATGCCAAGACAGAAGACCAAGACATTTCCTCTACACAAGAAAACAACACACACAATCAAGCCGACCAAGCACTGAGAATCCATGGCCCAACCCAACATGCACCTGACGCTTGACCTGACGCTAGCCTGACTCTGTCCTGCCGCCTCCTGGCCGTTTCTGGGCGAGTTGCTGCTGCCTCCAACTTATACTCCCTCACGCAAGCGGTGTTTAGCCACTGCACCTATTCTCTCCTCCTAAAATTCACCTCAATCCTCCCTTTATTCTTCCCCTGAACCTCCTTCCCCCCTGTCACTAGCATTTCATGTTCATGCTTCACACATCTACTAGTTACACAAGGACCTAGCAGACCTCTGCAACTTACACAATTATACACCACAGCATAAAATAACTTCTTGACGCCAATAAGATAAAAGATGAGAGTTTTCTACTAGTTACACAAGGACCTAGTAGACTTCTCCAACTAACACAATAACTAACAACCCCTTGCTAGCTAGCTTAGCCTCCTCCCCCCCCCCTGTTCCCTCGAGCTTGGGCGACCTCTTAGTGCGGCCTTCACCACAGCCAATCAAATCGTCTCTGCTAGGTGGATAGCCCACCTGCTCTTATTCTCTAGTACTTTACTTCCCGTTTCATAACTTTCCTTCTACCTTACCTCTTCTCTCCCTCCCCATGGCAAGCCTTTGCCATTTTATCTCCATTATCATCATCAACATCACACATCGCTCCTGAACTAAGAAGACCTCTCAACAAGACCTCCTGCTGGACCCGGAATTGTGAAGACCGCCCTCTCTCTGCTGCCATTGTTTGGCCGTCTTCCCGGACTGGACCATCCACCACTGACATCGTTGGCAACAACTCACGAGCGTTTTCGGTTTATCGAGCATTAGCTTGCCCTCCCCACTGGTGGTGTGAGTGACCCACACTCCAGCTGGAGAGCAGCTATAGCGCGATATTCCCGACGTGGTTTGAGCTCTTTTCCTTCTACTGCTATTTTTCCTTTTTTCGCTCTGGCCTAGGGACCTGCACCCTCAAAAAGTGTATTCGTCCTGCGGTCCCCCCTGTAACTGTTCACCTCCCTCCCAGGAGATTGTGAACACGAAAGGGGGTTGGAGCAAAACCCATCCCAGCCGAGTCTTTCCAGGAAAACCGTGATCGTGCGGTTCCACCTGGAAAGAGGGTAGCAATCCTTATCCTTCCCAAATAGGCACACTTAGCTCACGTCTATAAGTGAGCAGTCACATACACTAGGAAGTAGGCTTCCCCAACGGGGCTCCGGGAGAGAAGCTCAGGAACCACTCTACGACCACCAGCCAGTGGGGAGTGCTGAAATTCCTCTGCTACTTACTCAACCGGAATAGGTAGGATTTTAATTAAAAAAAAAATAAATAAATAAAAACGGTTATGGAGCGCGTACGCCCTCCTAACCGCGACCCCCGCCTGAACCGCCAACCTGACGACCCGAACTACGACAGGCTCCGCACAGAGAAAGCGGACCAGTTACGCGCCTTCAATGAAGCCCTGAAAAGCAGGAACACTGCCACCACCTCCAACAACTCCACCACCACTGCTACCGCCACTGAGGACGACAACTGGACGAAGGTAGAAAAAAAAACGCCGACGTGCTTTTTCGGGAAACGAATGCCGTCAAGCAGCCCAAAAGGCACCCATCACCACCACCAGCTCACCTCCAACGACACTGCCAAAATTCCGGATCTCGTAAACGGACACAAAAACGACATATGCCGCCATCACAGAGATGGAAAAACTAAATCCACTGGACAAGTTCTCACCTGCAAAACACCACCACCGTTGCATCAACCAAGCTGGACCCCGCGCAGAAACTGATGAAGTCGGTAGTCCTCCGGTACCCAAAGGAACTACCCCTCGAACCCCTGGAGAACCACCCGAAGATCCTAAAAGCCGAGAGATGCTCTCCCCCGTCCGACAAGACGGCCACCACAAAATAAGTGCTCATAACGCACTACGGTTCACCCCCCAGCACCATAGACCTCAAAACCTGGGGGATCTACGAAGTGAGGCCCTTCGTCCCAGAGCCCCTGCGGTGCTTCAGATGCCAGAAATACGGGCACCATCAGACAAGGTGCACGTACAAGGAAATCTGCGCAGTCTGCGCACAGAAGCACGGCACACACTCCTGCCTCACCAAGTTGAAAAATGGAGAAAAAATTGCC